CTTCTTCTGAATCTATGACACCAAGAATTAAGGCAGGTCTGAAGGCAAAAGGGGTCCAGCCTGGTACTAGCAAGGTGTACCTAATAAAGTGGCTGGTGAGTGTATAGTACAGGCTGCTGTGGTCAGAAAGTGAGACCAGTATGTAGACTACATTTGGTATAAAAGCTGGTCTCAGGTTCTTTCTCTGGTCATGCAGGGAATGTTAATCCGAGCCTGAAGGAAGTGTTTACTGCAGACAGAGCGACTGGACAGTAGACTCTGACATACTTAAGGTGATTATGTTTCAGGAAGAAGACCGCCCACCTTCAGGCATCTACGTGTCTTTTGTCACTCCCCCTCCACACCTGTAAAGACGAGACTGAGGCCGACACAAACTAATGAACAACTGTTTATTATTTGCTCTTAATAAAAACCCCAGTCCACTGAGGCCCACAGAGGAGGACGTCATGCTGGGCTCAAAGACAAAAACAGGTGGCTGTGACTCCAGAGAGTGTTACAGGAAGCCAGAAGCCAGAAGCAAACGCAACCTCCTGATGCTCAAACCGCCACTTCAGTTATTGCATCAACAACCTCAAAACTATTATTTTTTTTATTCCACCCGCTGTTGTGGCCACGGATAAATACGAGCATCGTGTAGTGTTGGTGTGCGTTTGTTTACATCACTGGTCAAAACCTCACGTGAAAGGGCTTCCTTTAAATATCCAGGCACATGACCCCCCCTCCATCACCTCCTCCCACAGCATCTTTCCAATCAGACAATAACACACACTCCTTACATCTCAGTGGTTCTCAACTTTGTATCAGAGGAGCCTCAAATGTGCCTTTAACTTTTACAAAACATGGACAGTGAATCAGTTATAAGTATATTTATTCCCAATATGCAGAGCAGCATTAACACCAGGCACCTCTACTGACCCAGCTCCCCCATTTCTCCCAGTCTCTGTACGCTGTGGATGTACCTGTCAGTAAATAGTTTGTGGTAACATAATAAAGAACACACAAATTAGTAAAATGCACCATGAAATACCAATATAAACTGAAATAATTTAAAGGGACAGTTCAACATTTCTTTTCTTTCCTTCTGAGAATCAGACATTCACATTAGTACCACTCTCATGTCTGTGCGCTCAATTTCAAGCTACAGCTGGTTAGTTTAGCTTAGCATCAAGAATGTTAACGGAAAATCCTTAGCTGAATTAAATAAAAAACTAGAACAATTCTGAATAAATTAAGATGGCGTTTCAGTATCAACATGTAATGTCCAGACACAGGAAGGAAACCTAAAATCACTGATTTTTGAAGGGAGTTTTGCGATTTTCTTCTGTATCAAACTACACGTTAGCATGTTGTATTTGTGGGGAATAATGTGTAAGGTGTAAGACTGTTATTTTGTCAGTAAACCTTGTGAGTTGTAAAGGAGCCGAATCTTGTGCCATTTCCTTTGTTACATGTTGCTGTTGTCCCTGGCTTCATATAAGAGGGAAAAGTCTGCTCGTCGCTAGGCTAATTCGTATTATGTAAAATGCCATAGGCTTGTGCTAATAACGTTAGCATGTTGTATTTGTGGGGAAAATGTGTCCAGATAAAGACAAGTGCTTTGTCTGTGAATGCTGCGAGTTATAGTGAAGCCGATTTGTGTACTTGTGTTTGAAAGTGTCTCTATTAAGCCATGTTTAATGTGTGTTTTGAATCAATGTAACTTTATAGCACTTAAGAAACCTCATCGCCAACTAGTGTTTTGGAGATGTAACTACAGAGTGACACAGACACACCACCACACAAGTATAAATGCTCACAGCAGCGTAAATAAATATAAATCCTGCTTTAGGGTGAAACCTTGTTTTATGTCTACTGTAAACTCAAAGCTACAGCCAGCAGCTAGTTAAGTTAGTATAGAGACTGGAAACAGGGAAACTGCTAGCTTAGCTTAGCATAAAGACACAAACCATACAAACAGCTGTAACAAAAGCTCATGGTGCTCTTAAATTAAGATTGTTAAAGGTTGGTGTTGATGATCTCAAGCTGTTCTGGATTTTTGTTTTTTCCACCACCCTTACCAAGAGTTTTTGTTCACTTTAAGGTTTCTGATATGTTCACTCTTTATTGTCACAAAACACTGCTAACCTGCATCTGTCATAACCAGCCACATGCCTTAAAATCTTTAGAGGTTGTTCTTTTTTTTTTTTTAAGGTCTTCACTGTATTTTCCGTTTCTGGGTCATGTTATATCTGGTTTGTCCCTTTGAGACTCTGGTCATTTCAGTTTATAATGGGCTTTCTTTGTCAGCATTATTGATCAAGTTACCACAAACTACTTGGCCACAGTGAGCTGAGAGCTTTCAGGCCCTTGTAATCCAGCTCTGACAGAAGCTTTGACATTTGTCCTTTCTTTCCAGCTCTGACGTGACACCTGAACGTCTGAGAACCACTGCTGTCTGTGATCGACGACTCTCTGAAATGTCTCCCAAAACAAAGTAAAACAAATTAGGGTTTCTGTCCTGCACTGGACACCTGGATACACAATGAGTTTGGACACATGAAGAAAAGTTTGCAGCTTTCAGCCACGTTTGACACCAACGTATCCCAAAACTGAAGCGTCCGTCTGCTGCGGTTTGATTTTTCTGAAGATAAATATATCGTAACAGAGCCTCGACTGTACCCCCACAATAATTATAGACATTTACAGTGCTTACTTATGAATCAATTCATGCATTAATCTGATAAAAAGCTATTTTAAATGCATTAATCAAATTTAAATGATGCATTTTGAAGCCAAATGTAAAAACATAATGACAAGATAGTTACATTGAGAGAGTGAGAGTGAATATCTTACTTTCTAATTCATTATTAAAAGCCAAAATAAGGAAGTAGAAAGTTTTGCAAGATGATTTTATTTTACTTTGAGTTTTATAACACATCATTTAAATGTATTACTTAGAGTCAAACAAAGTAAGAGTTTATATTTATTGTGGTGAAACACGAGAACATGTCATATCTGTCTGAGCTGCAGCTTTTCTTCTTGTGTCCAGCTCCAGTTTTTCTCAAAGCTCTCAAAAACTCTCACACGGGTGAAACTAACAGTTTTAGTGCCTTAATGCGAAGGAACAGCTTCTACAGCAGTGAGGGAACACGTTAAAGTTCAATTCCACTTGTCAAGATTTTAAAAAGCCGTGTGCAATAAAGTCTTAAATCTCTTGTCTTTACATTTGTCTCTTCTCTGATGCGATGTTAGCTGTTAATCTCGAGCATTAAGGCGAATCAAGAAAACATTTTCTCTACATTTCCTGAGCACAATTAAGTACTTTAAAGGTAGCTTTGCATGCCAGCCTGACATCTTTTCATTAGAATTTCTTTTGTTCTGGAGTCAAAGCCATGAAGCAGACACAACTTTAGGGGAGCAGACCCGGGTCAACACACAACTTCATTTTACTTTATACATTTTAAGCTACTGCAAGTGTTCAAGATGCTGAAGATCAGCTGGAAAGTCAGTTTTACGGCTTTTCTCTTATGAAAATAGCCCAAACCAAACAGACCTAGCCATCCTTGTTGACAGTGTTTGACCCAGGTCTGCTGACAACAATATTCACGTGTCTTTTAGCCTATTGATTCTCAGTGGAGTCAGTTATCATGACACTACAGAGTCTATGTTATCTGAATACAATCTCAGGACAAATGAACAGAAAACAGCATTAAAAGTGCAACTCTATACATTTCCTGCCAAATCAGATTTAAAAAAAATAAAACAAAAAACATCACACCCTCTGAAAGAGTTTTAAAGTACTTAAATCATGCCAGGCCGAGACGGCGTCAGATTATTCAGTCATAACTCATCAGACCCAATCTTTCGTAACCTCAAAGAGAAGTAGGAGTATTGCTAGAAAACTATGTTGCTACACGCAGACAGCTAGCATTTGTTTCTACTCTGCTTATTTTCTATTTATAGTTGACATCACTTCCTGTAGCTTTAGCGGGCTGTCCACCACCGTGCAGTGCCGCGGGACAAAGTTAGTGGCATTAAACGTGAAGTTGTACTGTAACAGGTGGATGAAATGGGACCTGTGGGTTTTATTCAGCTTGAATGTATAAATTAGTGTGTCTCAGGAAGCAGCAGCAGCTGAACGTACAGACCGTATGAACGAGTAATATCACCTGGAAAAGTGCAAACACCTTCGGCTACGGAAGATTTTAAATGCCCAAAATAAATCTAACCAAGTAAGTTAAATAATAATATTACTTAATATTTGTATTTCTTTTATATGTGTGCAGTTACTGTCATAATTCAAAGAAAAACATGTTACAAGAAAACATGTTTGGCGTTTTTGTCTTTAATAACTGGAAGAAATGTTTTTCATTGTGACATGAATTTTCCACATCTAGTCTATGGAGATCAATTTGTCTCAATAGCTGTGACCAGACTGACAGTCTGTGTGTAAATGTGTAATCTGTACAACTTCCACAAATGAAAAAAAGATTCGTAAACACCAAAAACTATTTTGCAGATATAAAACAGATGTACAAATACACAAATTCCCGAAAATTATATATATCTTTTAAATTGCAAATATAAAATGGAAAAACAGAGTGTGCGTGAAATACAAATCTGCTATCTTTGAATTGAGATTCACAAATATCTTTTTTTAAACTTGTTTGGAAAATATTCACCTATGCTTTTTGTTTATTTGTTAATTAAATGCTTTCACAGATTTTTTATTTGTGTATTTCCATGTCCATTTTATATTTGCAAATGTTATTTTTTATGTATTATGTTTTATATATTTTGTAATTTTATATTTGCAAATTTGCAGTTTTTTTGTGGCCTTTGACTGAATTTTTTTTTATACGTTTTATATTTGCAAAATAGTTTTGAGTTTACAAATCTTTTTTTGTCTTCTTGGAGGGTGTCTTATATTCACAGATTACACATTAACATACCGATTGTTGGTCCATTCACACAATTTGAGACAAATTTATCTTCGTAAAAATCAAATCACAACACAGAAATCAAAGTGATGTATTTATTACAAAGTCAACTGACATGAGATTTTGATGAAACTGCGGAAACGTTGCAATTGTACTTAATAAATTATCTCTTCAAGCACCCACGCAGTTTTCCATCTCTAAAAACAAACTCTCTCGTCCTCATGACAGTGTATATTGTCTAGTACTGGCAGGTTTGTGCTGCTCTCTGCTGGACATCACTGAAACATTACACTCCTCTGTTGTGATTGGATTTTTTACAATAAAAAAACAACTCATTAAAGAGTTAAGTTCAATAATGGTATTTTTATGACCCAGTTAATCTGATTTGTTTTACTTTGGGCATTTTAAATCTTCCATATCTATGAGGCCTATCAGCTGAGAGGCTTTAAGCTAGTTAATATTAAGATTTTACACTACAGCTCGAACTAACCGAAGCCCCTTTAAGCACCAGCAACTCATGAATGAAGCAAATCACAGAGAAATAAATGAAAAATATCCAAAGAAAACTTCTGAAATTTGACCTATGATCCATCTGTGACCCAGTTAGCTTGTGGACTGGGAGTAAAAACTACCACAAAAACCAGTTGAGTACACATGTTGCTCCCTACGCTAATGTCAAGATGTGAAACACGAGTCAACACTTTAAAGATCGAATGAGAGAGGAAAGGAAGCTGCGGAGCTGAAAGCGACTGTGAGAGAGGTTTGAGGTGAAAGATCACGAGCACTGAAGAGGTGGGAGAGACGTGACAGTGACAACAGGATGATGAAGAGTCTATGTAGTAGTAGAAAAATACATGTTAGAAAGGTGTGACTGAGATCCTGTGGGCTGTTCCGGTGCTGCACTTACAGGATATGTTGAACCCACCCCCCAAATAAAGCTATGTGTCAGTCAAACAACCCCTGACAGCTAACAAAATATTATCAAAGACAGGTTTAGGAAAGGGGCCGGGGACATAATTCATTAAAAACAAAAAACATCCCTCTGAAATATGACATTTATACATAATTATTTCAGCCACCTGGAAATTATTTTGTTGAGATCTGGACTTTTTTTTTTAGAATGTTTTTCTTGTTGTTGTTGTTGTTGTTGTTGTTTCCACCGTTGTGTTCGAGCAGTCTACCCCCAGTGCTGGTGACAAATATACAACTAGTAGACAATCTTCATTATTTTAGTCAACCAAAACTATTTGTTTTCCACTGAAGCGTGAAGAAGTTCCACCTTTCTGGAGAAGCTTCCTCCTGTCGACACTACGCAGCCACTTTGTTGTCCTTCTGGAACAAAAGGGAAATAAAAACAAAAGACATTTAGGATTAAAACACATTTTATACATCACATATTTTTCACTGAGCAAATGTGTGTTCAGGCAGGAAGACATTAAAGACTTAAAGATTTTGACTTTGATTTTTAAAACCTGACCACCTCCTAGAATTTAAATATATCAAAATATTTATCATCAGTCCATATTCTGAGGATGATGAATACTTAACGTAATACTCTTATTATAGTCCTTGATACTGCTCTAAAAAAATTAATTTTATGGGTTGGGTTGATTCTAGTGTCCGAAATTAACTTTTTGAGTGACCGGCCAAGAGGACTGGTAAATGAAAAAATCCAATGACCAATTAACAGCATAAATAAGAAATTTCATTTGATTTGGTGCATTTCATTGACATAATGAGGTATTATGTTGAGTAAGAACTATGCCCATTTTGAAAATTCATGTATGTTATTCCTATGGTCTACAACAGTCATCAATCAATCAATTTTATTTATAAAGCCCAATATCACAAATCACAGTTTGCCTCACAGGGCTTTACAGCATACGACATCCCTCTGTCCTTAGGACCCTTGCAGCGGATAAGGAAAAACTCCCCCAAAAAAAACCCTTAACAGGGGAGAAAAACAGTAGAAACCTCAGGAAGAGGAACTGAGGAGGGATCCCCCTCCAGGACGGACAGACGTGCAATAGATGTCATATAGAACAGATCAGCATGATAAATTAACAGTAATCCGTATGACACAATGAGACAGAGAGATAATACAGACTCTCCCAAAACTCTAACTTGTGGTGTCAGGGAACAAAGTCTGGAGCTGCTGCACAGACAATGAATGATGAATACAATATTATAAAGATCATTTAGTTATAAAAAAAGAAAACTAACATTCTGTGGGTCCCATTTATTGTCTATAGAGAAGCTTCAGACTTTATATACCCTATGACAGGCATGTCCAAAGCCAACTACCCAGGGGCCAATCTTGGCCCACGGACCAATTTTTACCAGCCCTTGACTTGACTTTCATATTATACTAACCCTAACCCGTCACACAATACTGGTTAATCAAGCAAGATCATATTCCCTTCACCTCACTATGGCAAAACTATTGTACAGTAGACATGCATCAAGTAGGAACTACACAGGTAAAAGTAATGTGTTTTAGTAAATCGATGGTAAACAAGCAAATACCTAATCGTAGACATTTCCTGCTAAGTAGCAGATATGGCCACAGCAAATAAGTATAAAGGACCACCACTCTCAGGAGCGGAGGAGAGTTGAATACATTTTCACTGAAAGATTAATCAGTTGCGTTTGTCTTGTCATTTTTTAATAACCCATATGATACAAGAAGCAGCTGGCCCCCTCAGGTATTTTCACATTATCTAATCTGGCCCCCAGTCAAAAAAGTTTGGACACCCCTTCCCAATGACATCACAAATTTGAGACTTCCTTCTCTGGTTTCTGGCTTAAAGAGAGAGAGATGCTACTGTTCACAGATACTGATTGAACTTTTCTAAGCCTTGAAAATAACACACTGGAATTCTGAGTTTAGGTAAATTTCCCCTTTAAAGAAGGCAAGTCATTTTCAATATATTGTTTAACCCATCTCCACAGTCTCAGCTTGTGAATAAGGTCCTGCTGGTGAGCAGTGATGCAGTGCATAGGTCTAGGGCTTTTCTTGTGAAAGGTAACATGCGTAAAGACAAATCTGTAATCTGTGTGTGTGATTGTGTGTCAAACTCTGACACTGACAGCAGAGCAGCACGCCCGTAAATGACACCAAAACACTGTAGACTCTCAACATAGTAATCAGTTACATGACTATTTTGGTACATACATTTACCCTCCAGTGTGGTGGATAGCCTTCAGAAATTTACTCGTCAAGGGGAAAATCAACCTGCATTTGGTGCTTGACAGGTGTTAATTACAGACCCTGCTATTAATCAAATGACATTAATTATTGATTAATGGTTCAGGTCATCAGAGGACATTTGTCTATTTCTACGGCTTCTCAGAATATCAGGATTTGCTGCTTTTATCATTGTGGATTGAAAATGATTTAGTTTCAGACAAAACAAGTTACCCAAATATTAAAAGAGTCAGAGTCTCTTTACTACAGCATCTACTCATCTACTTAATAGTGTTTCAAAGTTATTTTACTTTTTCACAGAAAGTCATTCTTTCCTCGAGACCCCAAAACCTGACGATGTACCCTGAGAGCTGTACTACTACTAGTTACTATTATTACTACTTCAGTGTTGATCAGTGTAACAGTGGCAGTGGTTGTTGGGTTAACTGCGATGGATTCTAAGACTTCATGATGACAGATATTTTCAGATATTTTGTAAAATAAATGATTCATTAATAGTGTCAAAATAAATAAAAAGATCCTGACAACAATCTTTAGTCACAGTTTCATCTCTTACGCTACAAACCGTGGACGATGCTATTCACAGTACAGTATGAAACATATTAGTGCATTATCATTGTCTGGGGATGCAGTTAAAGTGTAGATTTTCAGTGGTGTGCTCTGCATTACCTCACGACAATGACGTCACAAAGAAAAAAACGGTTCAGTAGACTTTACCCTGTATGCTGATAAGTCGGCGAACTCTCGTCCAGCCTGGTTTCCTCTGTATCCTCCCCTGAAGCCGCCGCCTCCCTGTGGCGGCCCGAAGGACCCTCGGCTAGCCGAACGACCCCGACCTCCGCGGAAGCCCATACCTCCACGTCCACGGTAACCTCCGCGGCCTCGGCCCTGACGGAGGGGGATGCCGAACGTCTCGGCATTCATCCTCCTCTCCTCTGCCCAGGTCTGCCTCCGCTCCCTGCAGGATGAGGAGGTGAAGAGGAGGTGATGAGGAGCAGCTACAGATGGGTGGTGTTAAAAACTCACTCATATTCTGCATCATGTAGAGCTGCATAACAATGAGACTATGAACTGCACCTCCATAAAGTTATTTTTAACAGCTGAATGCTGCTAATTTATGATTTATTATATTTACATGGAGGTTCTGCTTTATTATCTGTCACTGTCAGAATCAATAGAGATCAACTCCAAACAGAAATCTCCATCACTCACCAATACAACACAGACACCATCAGCTACAAATGCACCTCAAATGAATTCCTCCACCTATGAGGAGGCTGCCAGAGCCCCCAGAGCCCCCAGAGCCCCTTGACAAGATGAACACTCACCTTGGGAAACCTGAGACTCCAGACTTCTCATTTGCTTTCCTGGTGAAAAGAAAACAGACAACAGAGTCATGAGATTGTAACAGAAACATCTATCATCACTTTCACAGTGGAGGCAGAGGACGGTCAGAAACAATGATGGAGACATCTGTGAAATGATGAAGACGGTCACATGTCTCAATGTGTCCTTAAATTTAAGCCCACACCACAAGGTGTCTGACTGGGACTCTTACGGACTGACTGATACTTGTAAAGACCAACTGGGACTTGTACCTGGTGTCATCACAGGAGATGTTGTCGAAGAAGGACTTGGACTTGTCGTAGTAGCAGTTGGGGCCGAGTGGGTCACCCTCTTCATCAGCGTTACCTTCGCTGTTCTGGGTTTCCACACCTGAGTCGCCCTTATCCTCTCCGTTCACCGCTTTCTCCGACTTCTCAGTCTTCTCATCTGAGAGACGACAGAATGAACACAGTCACACTTCTGACGTGATAACGAGCTTTGAGAATTTAACATGAGGAAACAAGACGGAGGATATGTCAAATTGTGTTTGTCTGTATTTACTTAAGGACAACACTGAAGTTTTGGACCAATGACATGAAAGAAAACGGCATGTTTGGTCTCATTAATATGTACTCTTCTGCGTTCCTTTTTACAAGCCCAAAATATGACATAAGGAAATGAACATTAATACAGACATCTGCTGCAGCTGATTCATCAGACACACTGGGACACAGTGGAGATCACAACACACACACAAAAAAAACGCTAATTAAAATTTACTTTTGAGTTACTTTAACTCTCAGCCCCATAGGATGAAAACAACAAACGGTTGTTTTTCCACACACTTTTGGCCTTTTTTTAAAATCTGTTCAAAGCGATGATCCACCCAAGGGAAGTTGAAGGTTTCTAAATCCTTCACACTGATCTTTTTCATCTCTCACTCAATCACCCATCTTTTTGTTGAGCTGACAACATCAGGATATTTATCCGACGTTTTGTCATTTTTGCTGTATGAATAAAAGCTCATGTTTCCCAAAGTTCAACAGAAAACTGTTTTCTTTTACTTGACATTATCAACACAAGTCAAAACAGTCTGGAATCTAGAGCTGCACCTTACTCAGAGTTATGTCAGTTGAATCAGATTTGGCTGTTAAAATACGAATATTCGACTATTTATTTTTTTCCCATGCAGAGTTTGAACAGGATTAAGCAGGACATTCAGGGTGACAGAGACATTCATGTAATGCAGTAAACAAACCAGGTTAGCCCTCAGTGCTAATGTATGCTAACAACAAAAGTGATGGCTCAGAAATATGCAACAACATTTTTTGTCACCACTAGATAACAAATGAAAGCCGATTAACACATTAAGTTGCTGTGCGCTGTAAATTTACCACTTTTAAAGGAGAAAAGAGAAGATAACATTATCTCATAGCCTGACCAGCCTCGCTTCCTCGGGGCAGCTGCCTCCGTCTCACTAGCTCTTTTTACACAGAGGTCGCAGTATAGAGCCGCCACAAAGTCCCTTCTTTACGCTGTCTTTGCATTTTTTATTTTTTTTTAAGACAGAACCAAATAACAGCAGCATCAGGCTGCTCCACTGTGTGATTTTAGACAGCATGCTGGCACCCCAGAAGCAAAAGAGGGGGTTGTGATGTGTAACACAACAGCATTGGCCTCTAATGTGACATAACATATGCGACAGCAGCGCTTTATAAACAATTATAATGGCATTAACATGGCAATACCAATCATTTACTGTCCCTGTTATATGGCGGATGATCTCATCCTCAGATCAGAGGGTAAGGAGCTCCCAAACCCCATTGTTTTCCCAATTTGCGGACATTTCCGGCTGCTGTTATTCTTCGAGTTAGCTGCTAACTACTACTTTTAAATCTCCCACAGTGGGTCACACACATAACACATTGTCAAAACGTCACACCCATCTGTCCACGGTCCTATCCTGCTGTATGTCCCTTTCATACAGACATTGTTTTGGTGTTACGACTTCCACTCCTGGCTTAAAGACATCTCTGCCCCCCCCATTCTGCGATTGTACCTTTCACACAGAGCAGGAAGGCATAACAATTGTGCAAAATCCCTCCCTTGAACAGGCACTGTGATAGGGACTACTCAGACTCAACCCGAGTCTGGGTCAACAGCTGCCTTTACCGAACAGCACCGTGAGAAGAGGAGCGCTCACTCTGCAGCAAAATTGTACAATGAACACTGACTGACAATAAACAAACAAGCAAACAAAATAGACTGCTTGACTTAAAGAAAGTTAGCTGACTCGGGAGTCTTCAACTGCTAATTTGAGACTTGGACTTTCGGGGAGGGTGGCCCTGCTGGCATCAGATCTAATTTAGCAGCACTTCATTCTAGGGCTGTAGTCTCCTGGCCGACTAGTCGATTATTTGGTCGCTATGCTCTCATCCGAACAAATTCTCATTAGTCAAATAATTGCTGTGTTACTTTCAAGTGCTACATCAACAGCTTTCCAGGATTAATCCATTATTTCCTGGGGGGGGGCAGGCTAAGTTACCTGTGAAAATGGGGGTGTTTTCAAAACACCCCCGTGATTGACAGAAAATTGGACTCGCCCACCCTAATGCTCAGCGTCGCGGTGACGCAGACATGCAGACCTCCTGTCAGTTTCTGTAAGCTGAAACCTCAGTGGAAACGGAGCTTGTATTTACTTGTATTTCACAGATAAGAAACAATAAATTGTGAAGACAGTAAAGCCTCCACTACAATAGCATTTTAAGTCGTGTGTGTGATTTATCCTTCAGGGATTTATACTCTGAAATCTCCGCTTGTCGCTAGGCTAATGTATACCATGTAAAATGCCATAGGCTGGCGCTAATAACGTTAGCATGTTGTATTTGCTTGGAAAACGTGTTTAGCATAAGACAGTTTTTTTGTCAGTGAATGTTGTGAGTTGTTATGGAGCCAAATTATGTACCGTTACCTTTGTTATATGTTGTTGTTGTCCTTGGTTTTATATGAGAAGAGGAAAAGATCGCTAGATGCTAGGCTAGTTTATACAATGTAAAATGCCATAAACTTGTGCTAATAACTTTAGCACGTTGTATTGGTGGGGGAAATGTGTCCAGATATAGACAAGTGTTTGTCTGTCAATTCTGCTATTTATAGTGAAACCAATTTGTGTACTTGTGTTTGAAACTGTCTCTATTAAGCCATATTTAATGTGTGTTTAATGTGTGTTTTGAATCAACTATATAAATAAAGGTTGATTTGAACTAAACTTTACAGCACTTAACACAATCCTCCACCGCCAACTAGTGTTTTGGAGGTGTAACTGCAGAGTGACACAGACAACATCGCAGAAATAAAAATAACGTGCAGATTTTTTTTTCTCCCACAACTAATCGATTAGTTGAAGATTATGTGCGGCCAAGATTTTCTTTGGTTGACTACAACCCTACTTCATTCATGTACATTTTCAGTCAGTCAATACCTCACTCCTAGGAAAAATATGAGCAACAGTTGTTGACATGCTTCAGCCTGGACGCTGCTAACATGGTTTAAAATATTATATATTTCCAGCAAATACCTTTTAATTTGAGCTTGCTCTGGAACTCCCTGTCGATCTCCTCCTTGTTGAACTGGGCGTTGGCGCTCTCAAAGTCAAAGTCTTTCTCGAACTTCATGGGTCCGTCTCGGCGAACATTGAAGCGCCCTCTGCCACGGTGTCCACCCCCTCGACCACGCCGGTTAGCCGGTGCTCCAGCAGCCGCTAAATGACACAATAACAGGATACATTAGCTTTCATAATAAAAGAGTGGTGCAGAATAAAAACACCAGTAAACACAAACTAATTTCATGACAACACATGAGGTAGTAAACCAAGGCACACATCCACTATGGTAAAAGAGTTCTCAGTCTTTCAAAATGAGTTAGCAAAGAGCCAAGTGGCATGAACGCAGCTTGGCTTCAGAGGTTAGCTTTACACCAGTCACATCAAACATGGAGGAAATGCAGTAAATAATTCAGATAGCATGCTCAGGTATTCGCTGAGCATGAAAACACCGTTGTGTCTCATCGTCTCGAGTCCATTGACATGAACAGCATGTCAATCTGCACACACGTTCACTAGCAAAGAAAAACACGTCAAAGAGGGATGATCGGGGTCGATGAGTTTATGGGCTCCACTGTCTGAAAGGAAAGCTGTACAGGCATGCAGAGTCTGAATGGGCTGTTGAGGATGGTGTCAGAGCAGAGGAGGGTTTAACCTGTGGAACGTTTACTGGTATCCCTGCCTTCACCTCGCGCCTGCTCAGACTCTGGTTTGGGGGCTTTCTGGACGTCTGTGCCTGGAACAGCAGAGTCTTTTAGTCTTCCAAAACAACGTCAACAGTCAAGAGAAACAGTCCTGCTGCCACTAGTCTCCTACCTTCAGATAAAGGCACAACGCTTTCAAATGTGGGACCTCTGGAACAAAATGTTAACATATCACACAACGTGGAAATGATTCTTTACCAGATAACTACAGAGTTTTATTTGTGCCTCACTCCTGAGCAAGTACAGGGACATTTTAAATAAAATGAGCAGAGAATAGATTGGTTTGCTCGTCTTGAATCATTTTCTTCTATTGAAAATATCCACTGTGCTCTCAGAAATGAATAATAAATATAACTCTATATAAGACAGCAGCACAGATCACACTATGTGCTGATCTCTGGTCTGAGCTCTCACCTGGGTGGCTAAAGATAGAGTGGGTAAGCCCTGCAGTGGAAGCCCTATCTACAGCAGTGATGTGAGAGGCGGAGATGGTTCGGGGTGCAGACCAGCCCTGGCTGCTGCGGCCTCCCCTGACAGTCTCACCCCTCCTCGTGTCCACGCCTTCCTGGTGCTGGACCTTCTGGATGCCCTGACCGGCACTGGAGGGGGCCGTGCGACCGTGGGTGGGGCTCCTGCGTCCCAGGCCAGGGGCTGGGGCTGTGGTGGTAGTGGTCGGGGCTGACGGAGCCGACGGGGAAGTTTGGATCACCTGCTCCAGGGTGGGGCTCTTCCGCAAAGGGTCCAGGGTGGGGCTGCTGCGGCCTGGTGGGGGAAAACCAGGGCAGGGATTGGGGTTAGTGGTGCACACTGCTCACAGTGACTTAACTAAATCAACCTGATCATTAGTCAGCATTGATCGGACCAAAAACAGCTCAGAGACAGAGGTCATTCTCACTGTTTAAAGGGAAACAAGCTAGCTGGGTTCATTTCAAACTACACCCAGCAGGAGCTGAACCTCTGGATGCTCCTTTGTTTCTTGGTGTGAACCAGATGAACTGAGCTACATGTGTGAGACCACCTCACTGAGGAAGGTTCTCTGATAACAGTTCAATACTTTACAAACGCTCCCATCAAAGTCTCGAGCTTTAATCTGACACAGAACTGATTCAACAGGACATGCACGTTACTGTGAGGAGCATGCTATTAAATTCAAGCCCAATAGTCTCAATTTACTACTTCTGATAGTGGAAGCATTCTGCAAAGATTAATTTCAGTCATTACTTTCTATCACAAAGTGGAAACACAATATGTCAGTAAGAGTGTTCTTGATTTAAACATACGAAGAAAGAAGGAGTTCATACATTTACAGTGAAAACCCATCAAACGCTGTGTCTGTAAGTAAAGCAGTATTTCACCAGATATTATTAGTGCAGAGTTTTCACTTGTGTAAATGATAGAGTCAGGAGTAATTTAGTACCACCCGGTGTGGTGAGTAGACACACAGATCTGTGATTCCCTTTTCAAACAGCTTCCTGTAGGTCTTTACCTTCGGTTACAAACGGACCCAGAGAGCGATATTCAGAGGACAGAGCAGAGCCAATAGCAGTGCTCTGAGACTGGGTCGAGGCTGTGCTCGTACTGCTCACAAAGGAGGGCACTGATCGTCCTGTATGGGAGGAACAGCAGGAACAGACCATTGAGGGCAACAACACTCGTGGTTCCTTTAAATGCACCTTGCTGTTCTGCATGGCTGTATACCAAACCCTAACTCTAACCCACCTGTGGGAGTGTAAACCACACCTGGTATAATACCATCAACTAACCAATGATGTTAAGTGTCTTAACTGTCAGCATGTCCCAAAAATCAGACAATACACTAAATCTAAACAGGTTCAGAGTCTGCAGTGTGTTTTAAAACTGATAGAATAAAGTAAACTCAAACCAGACAGTTTACAGACTACAGCTGCAGCTAATCATTACTGTCATTACAATTAATAATTGGCAATAAACTGTCTAAAAACAGTGAAAAATGAATGTCAGTTTTGTCTGAAGCTACACAGATATTCAGTAAACTATCATGTGTGACACAGAAAAGTATAATATCCTCACATTTAAGGAGCTGGAAGCAGAAAATGTTGGACTTTTTATCTTAAAATGAATAAAAAGATTAAATTTATGTCAATAAACTAAGCAGCTCTAATGCAGATTAAATTCAGTAGATTTGAGTTGTTGATGGACACCACTCAAATGTAGGAGCTGCTCAAATATGAAAAATTAAAATTATTGGCATTAGCGATCAAATGCCTCCAGAAAGATCTCAGAAAACCGTAAGTATTAAATCTTAAAATTCCCAAGCTGTTACAGCTCAATTTTATTGTGAAGAACATTGAAGAACAAGAACATTTCCACAATAAACTAGTCTACTGTGGCTGGTTAAGCTGTTGACTTTGTCTCCAAACAGTCAATATAATTTTACAGAAACAGCTGCAGAAAACTTCCAGTTCAGTAACAGTTGCATCCTCTGGAGTGTCTTCAATAAACGTGAGAATTTTAATACTATAAGCAATAATTGTACACTTGCTACTGCTCTTAAACTATAGAATCAATTAACCCCTCAATAAAGCTTGTATTAAAAGGCGCTGTACGTAAGAATGCGGCCAAAACAGTTACTGCACTCAAATTCAAAATACTGCCGCGAGTTGTGTCCGCCCCCCCTCCCCTACAGATTCGAGGTTGCTGGACAGCAGCACGCTGGAGACTGATTTGTTTGCCCACGGGCGGCTGCCGTGGCAGGGCCGTGTTGCCGCATTCTTGATCTTCCGTTTTCCAGCGGACCGTTCAAGCAAGTCCGGCTTCTCTGCTGCTAACGTTGCTGCCGGGATACAGCTGAGGAGACTGCTAATGCTATGTCCTGGGACACTGCTAATGCTGCTTGCCGTGCTGCGGTAACTCAGTCGTAACTTTAACTGATGTGGAGACTCTACTGACTGCGTAACTGGTAGACGGCAGTGGGTGGCGCAACAGACCAAAACACAAATTCAAAACATAAAACATGATTTGCGGGATGTAAAATTTTTTTTTAAATGTGAATATTCTGGCTGTACTATTGTTGTCGGTGAGATCAGTATGTTATATGAACATTATTCCTTAGTCTCTGTGACATATTCGAAGGATTTTATGACTATTTGCTTTAGATTTCTTACATATAGCTTCTTTAACTTACAGAGAGTATGTATGTGTCAGACAGCAAATTTAAAATCAAGATTCTGTAACCAACACAACCCAAAGTAACGACTAATCAATGTCACTACACATGTAGAGGAGGAACGTGAGGCCTCAACTGTTTAAAGTCACGCTGATGCCATGAACAAACCCTCCTCAGTCTCTCTGGCATGCTTGACGTGGTACAGGAGCCACAGAGAGACCCTGAACCCTTGGATATCATGCCCAGCTGGGGCCCTGCACCCCTAGTGTCTTTTATAGTTCGACCCATAAACACAAGAGAAGAACTTACCGACACCAACTGGTCCAAACTGAGGGGAAACCAGGGGGCTGGTGCTGAACTGGTTATAGGCAGGAACTGGAGCTCGGTTGAAGAGGCCGTAGGAACCAGCGGACTGGAACGGGGTTGGAGCAGCGGCAGCAGAAGACGAGGAGCTGGAGCTCATGGACGACTGAGGGAGAAGACAGTTCACGTTACACTGTGAGCTTTAAAAAGTCTTCACCTAGTAACACTGGTGTTTGTGTGAAGGAGATGTACCTGAACAATGGCAGGGTCCTGAGGAAGAGAGCATGTTGGTTTGGGCGGCTCACACACAGTCAGGTCCTTGATGTCGCTGCCTCTGAAGATGATGTACTCAAAGGTGTCATCTCGAGGAGGGATGGGCCTGTCTGTGGGTCTGTCCTCTGTGCCAAATGAACGCACTGACAAGGAGAAAGGAGCTTCCAGTTAGCATCACGGGTCAAAGGACAATGACATGTCAACAAAACATTCACTCCACCAAGCTGTTCTTATATTTCATTGAGCGCTCTTTAGTGCTCATCTGATATGGACGAGTTAAGTTAAATTATACTCACACACTGTGTGTCAGACTGTACAAAATCTAAATTGAGGAATGTTCAATTATGGCGGCTCTCTGGTGAAAAGTATCACTACCATATAAATATATAACATCTGACAACATGTGCTTGTGCTGCTCTCATAAAGAGTGCTACTGCAGTATTTCTAATTCTTAAATTTGAATGTTCAGCTTTGGACTGCTGAACAGACAAAACAAGACATTTGAAGACATGAGCAGAGGCTACAGTTTGGAAACTATTGTTAGTAGCAGCCCTAGAGGTATCATATGTTTAGATATGCGAGTGTATCACAAAACTGTCATGGATAACCACTGCAGTTCCCCAAAGCACATTGTACTGTCTTTATATTGCTTGTTTTTCTCTGACAATCAGTTCAAAACCACTAATGCTCATTTTACTATCTCATGAGACAAACAGAAGCAGCAAATACTCGCAGAGAAGATGCTGGAAGTAGAAAATATTAAGCTTGTAAATGACTTAAACAATTAATTAATGAACAAATTAGTTGAAAATGTTCTGTCAATTAGTTTAGTCTCTTAATCTCTAGCGAAAACAGTTAATTTAATCCCCAGTCTACTTATAGTAGGGATGTAACGATTACCGATATTACGGGCACTGCCAAGGTGCCCTTGAGCAAGGCACCGAACCCCCCAACCGCTCGGGGCGCCTGACCAAAGGGCAGCCCCCTCACTCTGACATCTCTCCACTTTGTGCATGTATAGGTCCTGTTTGTGCATGTGTGTGTCTTTCAGACCTGTGTGTAATTGACAAGCAAGAGTGAAAACATTGAAGTTCCCCTCAGGGGATTAATAAAGTAAATAAACTTAAACTTAAATTTCGGTTAATTTTTACACGGTAAGAATGACCGTTTATGTTTAAATTAATTGCATTATCGCGGTGGATTATCAGGATATGTAATAACAGCCTCATTCAAGTCTCGCGATGCAGGCGCTGCGTGAATGCGTAGCATGTGTAAACACAAAGAATGAAAACATGGCGGAAGCGGCACTCAGGACATTTTCCCCCCAACTAAACGCACACAGTCTGAGGTCTGGGCGTACTTTGGGATTCTGAAGAATGCCGAGGGACAGCTGGTGGAGGACAACTATCCCGTGTGCAGAACATGCAGAAAGAAAGTTGCTGCGAAGGGTAGCAACACTAGAAATCTGCTGGCTCATCTCCGTGACCATCATCCACAGCTTTTACAGCCAATGCAATTTATGCTATGCAAACGTCAGTTATTGTGTGAGGGACTTCGGTTTTACTAAGATTGTCATAATGTGCAACTCTCGATGTATACGGGACATTTGAGCCGTATCTGTCCTCCTCAACAGCGACTAGGTTTTCCGTTTTCGTTTAAGACACTTAGGAGCTAATACTAGCTGATTAGCTAATAGCCATATTAGCAGCTATGTTGTTAGGTGTTTCAAAATTAAACGGAGCTGTAAACACTGAGCGGAGCCGACAGAATATAAACCGATGTAACGTAACGCTAATTGAGATCAACTATGATTGAATCACTGTGATTATGGTTATTGTATGGCGAGCTAGAATCAATATAGACAGCCAGTTATGCTTTCTCGACATAAGCTCAAGGAAACAACATAAAACGCTGCCGTGTTAACCTTTGACCGAGAGCATGCACTCCTTTTCTCATAACTTACAGGTAATCCTCTGACTCACATGCACACTTCTAATGTGTGAATTATTCTGTGTAATGATGACCATTGCCCTTAGGGTTTTTTTTGGTTTCTCCTGCACATTTGTGATATCTATTCTATATATTGTATGTTTTTTGTTCTACTCTTGCATTGTTTTGTTTTATATATATTTTTCCTCTCGTGCTAATAAATAAATAATTAATATATAAATTGTTTACATATTTTGCTGACTGGTAAAATGCACCAGACAAATAAGCTTTGCTCCTGTAATGTGTTTACATATTTTGTTAATTTTTTAAAATAAAATTTTCTGTTGCTGTGCCAATCCCTTGCCCCTTTAATGTGAAAGTTTCATTTTAATATAAGATTTTGGCTGTTAACATTTTAGTATGATAAAGAAGTTACAAGATTTAGTGAAGTTATTTCAATGTATCTATTTATTGGACATTTTACAGTGCTTAAAAAAATATTGCAATATTATCGTTTACCGTGATAATTTGGTCACTATAATCGAGATATCAAATTTTCCATATCGTTACATCCCTAACTTATAGTTTGTGAATGTGTCCCAGATTTCTCTCACTTTACTTTCTTCTAATACTTTGTTTTTTTTACATCACATCAATTCAATGCTAATGTGTTTAACCAACGTAACTTACATTAAGTGCATTCAACCATGTGTGTACAGCCAAAAAAGTGCAAGAATCATACAAATACATCAACTTCATCAAATATGCTAACCCTCTTACATTTAGGGACAACATGAGTTATTAATTTATTTTATATTTCATCCCTATATTTGAACATGGGCACTATTTCATGTCTTAGATTCTCTCTTTTTTTTAACTTGTGTTATTTTCTTCTTTACAAATACTTAATGAGCTTCGTTGGAGGGAGCCTGAGATCTAAGATGTTAATTGCCAACAACTGTTGCTCTGTAAGTGTTTCGCAGATGACAATAAAGAACTTGAAACTTGAATTACCCGATTTGTAAAGTATTCTAATCCTCAGTGTACCAGGTATGATGTGTACTTTACTGTCACAATGTGCTGTATTTGGCTGCTCATCAGAGGGATAAAGGCTGCTGAGATGAAGTGTAATTAAACAGTTTGTCGTCATCATAATCTGTTGTTGGTGAACCAGGTGAAGTGAGTGCACAGTGAATGACGTAAGGTGTTGGGCCTGCCAGACACGCAGACACTTAAGCCTCTTCCTTAGCACATGTAAGAGAGAAAAGTTAGCCGCTGTCAGTGGACATTACACTTACGTCTTCATTTTAGGGTTGCAAGTAATCATCTCTGTACATTGCATATATTGTCTATGCTGTGAACCTCTGCACATACCTGCACAAAACTGTGTATCTCTTCGCTGTGGAAACATATTCTATTATGTTTCTTAAATGTTGCAGCATTTTGTTATTTCTTTTATTTTCTCTTACTGTATTTACTGTTATACACCAAAACACCAAGGCTAATTCCTAATACGTTATGTGAAAACCTATTTGGCAACAGACCACATTTTAATTACATGCAGCTAGCCAACTTGCTAATGCTAGCTGACAGGTTGAAAAGCTGACACATGTTGCAAAAACGAGAATATCCCACTATCATGACTGTCATCACTGCAGCTGCTTTTGGGTAACCTCCTTTAAACCTTTGTTTAATATATTTTTAATAGTATCTAACCCACCCTCATATCAGACCTTAGCACTTTTGAACAACATGTTTTCTATATGTGTATGAGCATTTTCCTAAAGCTGTAACAAGTAATGGATTGATCAATAAAAAATTATTTGCCAGCTATTTGAGTTTTGAGATGTCATACAGGGCATTTTTTTGATAATGGTGTGAAGGTAAAGATGTAAGATTTTAGAAAGTTATAGAGCTTGAATGTACTAACCTTAAATTTTATTTGAAAACCAAGAACATGTAAATATAAATGTCTTTTTCTTATTACATTTCGTTCGCTTTAGCTTTTTTATTTGTTACTGTTTTGCTTCAGTTTAGTTTTTTTTACTCGGACACGTAAGTATATCAATACTGTATTCAACCTTCCGTGTATTTAAAATGTGTTATGTAATAAAAATAATGAATATTAATAGTAAAGCCATTGGGTTTAAGTTATGCTAGCAGACAAGTTGGAAAGCTGACTCATGTTGCAAACACGGGTTAATATTAAGAGCTTAGACGTATCTTCAAAAGTTATCGGAAAGTCGTTTAATTATATGTTGAAGTGATAATATACGTTTCTGTAATAAAATCATAAAACGGGACGAAGTTACGTTGCCATTAGCTTAATTAGTTTTAGCATCATAGCGTACTGCATCATAATGGTTACGCTATTAGCTTGTCGTAGCGAGCTAACGCTAGTCACTTGGCTAACGTGATTGATTTGTTCACGCTCTGGATTTGAACCTGTAATTTAATTTTAATTTAACTTAAATATAAGTTTACTAGCCCGACTGTTTGACGTCGGTCTGGCACTAAATGACACTTTAATTGTTACTTTAAAAACATGAAGTAACACGTCAACAACAGTGGCGGATGCTAGCTGGTGTTAGCATTAGCCTAGCTGCTACCTTTGGCCAGAGCCACGGTGGAGTTCTCGGTGTCGATGGTGTACAGGATCCCTTCGTAGCGGATCTCGGCCTTCGAGATCAGGCTGATTTTGCTGCCCAGGTAAGGCGTCCCGCCGCTCATGGTGTCTGCTACAGGTAGGCAGTCCGATCAGAAAACAGGATGGACGGCCGCTACGAGCCGTGTGTTCGACAGTAACGGAGTCTGCACCGAGTTTGTCCGGTTTGTGCTTTCTTTCCACCGACTACAACATGGCTACCTTACCCTCCATCGAATGGCTGAGAGCGCGGGGGCTAACGTGAACTCGTAATCTCGCGCGTTTACGCTCCGCCGCGAGATCTAGATCTGTGTGGGATAGAAGAGCAAACACGACCAGTGTGTGAGCTCCACATCAACATCATCACATACATCCTCCATACCAACAATAAGTGTTTATATTACTATGGTTTTAATAGCGTTGTGAAAGGTAACTAAGAACATATATCCAAGTGATGTGTTAAGTACAGTTCTGAGCCACTTGTAGTTTACTTAAGTGTTTTTATTTTATTTTATTTTATTTTATTTAACAGGGACAGTGCACAGCTACTTAGCTACACTAGAGTTAACAATAGGCTAATTTTCATCTGTAGTCCCCGCGACGGAAACAGAGAATAATTTATCTGCTAAAAGATACTATTGAATTAAAAATACAATTACAAAACAGAACATTTTCTGGTAGGCCTACTTTATACTTCTACTCCATTAAGCTACATTTCAAAGGAAAATATTTTACTTATTACTGCATTACATTATCTGATCTGACAGCCTCAGTTCCTTTACAGATTCAGATTATTAATACAAAATATAAACCAACTAATAACTAATATATAATGGTGTATTATATAGCCTATGTGTTTGTGTTAAAATAGCATATATTGCACTTTACATGTTTATATTAACTGACATTACCCGTATCTAAATTGACACTTCTTGTATTAATACGTTTCTATCATTTTCTGTATTGCACTAAATGTTTATACCTGTTTTTGTATATAATTTTTGCATCTAATGTCCATTTGTTTTTTCTTTTGTTTTGCTTCACAGCCAGGGAAACATAGTTTCATTCCTCTACTGCACAGTATATAGATGGATGACAACAAAGTCTGTCCTATCGCTTATCTCTTGTGAAGTAATAAAAAAAACCCTCCACCTTTACCGGCTGCAAAATTACAATGATTAATAAGTTAATGCATCAATAGTTACATTACAATAATATAACATATATTATTCTAAAATGGGCAATTCTGCATAATGAGCACTGTCACTGTTGGTGGTGTATTTTGATGCTAATAATTTGTACTTTTATTTAAGTAAGATTTTAAATGCAGGACTTTTTGTTGTAATATCTGAGTACTTCTTTCACCACTGGTTATGTAGGACGAAAAATGATTTATGTCCCGTATAATTATCAACTTTATTATTGATGTCTCTAAATATTTCCATATTTATTTTTTTGTTGCAGCATTTTTTAATTTATTACCGTATGTATTTATTAGTCTAATTTATTTGTGTATGACTGTATTAATTTATTTCTTAATATTTACATGATTTTTCGTCCTCCACTGCTGGTGGCTGACAGTAAAGACTGGTCAAAGTGAGTTATACCTGCAGATCACACCTGTACATGGCGCCACCGCTAACACACATACAATCTATCTCCAGTGTTTCTATGCTCGAAAACAAGTCGGATCCTCCGCGCATGCGTACATTCTAAAATACGATTTGCACAACGGTCTAACATCAAAGATGGCGGGAGCCTCCGACCCACTGGAGGACATGCTCTTCAATGAGGTGGATGAGAAAGCAGTTAGCGACTTAGTTGGCTCTCTGGAATCACAGCTCGGCGACAGAAAGGCTCCCGCTGCTTCTTATTCCGACGGGAAACGGGAGGGAGCTCCGTCGGCTGCCGGTCAGTTCTCAGGGAAAGTGCGCGATCAAGTGGGGTCTCTGGAGCAGCCGCAACAAGGGCATCCAAAAGCGGGGTTAACCCGGGAGCCCGGCGCTAATGAGCCCGGCAAAGCCCTCACCTCCTCTACCTCCTCTGTCGCCACCGGGGCCGTGATCACCGCTGGAGCTAGTCTGCAAACAGTTGGAGCATCTCCTCCCACTATCTCCCCGGTACCGGGACCCGTAACTTTGACCACTCAGCCCGCCGCTGCTAGCTTCCACCGGGCTGCCGTCCTGGGTCCGAGCGCGGCTCCCAGCACTAACATCGCCCCCGCGGCGGAGGCTATCGGGACCGCTTCTCCCGGATTACAAAGTTTAAACGGCAGCGCTGGAGCTGTAAAGTTGGTGAACTCGCCCGTGGTCCCTCCACAAACCGGGGCCAGCACGGTTATAAGTACTGTCAGTGCCGGGGGCTCCGCGATCATCGCCCCCATGGCTTCACAGCCTAACTTCCCCCAGCCCTCAGTGGCGTCTCCCGCTGTAACTCTGCAGAGGCACCCCAGCCCGGTGGCCCAGAACGGAGTGGACCCCAAGGGTGCCCAGCTGGTGACCCAGGGTGCGCCCTCTCCGTCAGCCTCCAGCCCTCAGGTCGTGAACCACAGCACCCCTCTGATGCACACCAAGATGTTGGTGCCCAGCCAGCCTGTCTCTGGAAACTCTGTCATCCTGGCCAGCACCCCTCCGCCCGCTGCAGCCCAGTCCCCCATCAGCCAGGCTGGGACCACTACAGCTGCGGTCACCCTGAAGCCTACAGTGAACGGGGTAGCCGTGGTGAGGCCGCCGGTACCTGGTGCCCCTGTGGTGGCCACCTCCATCCAGCAGCAGAGACCCGGGCTGGTGGCGACCTCCACCCGGGCGGCAGCTCCTCAGCAGCCGCTGGCTGTCCGGCCTCAGCAGCAGACCACCATCCAGCTGCCCCCTGGCTTCTCCATGCCTCCCGGTGAGCACACACACACAAGGATAAGTCTCCCTCACCTCCACCTGAGAGGACTCACCTGTTGTTGGGTGGTGTTTCCTCTCAGGTCCCTGTGGTCCCTGTTTGTCACTCTCAGGTCAGATGATGTCAGAGTGGAGGTGTTTACCATCAGGTCCTGCTGCTCTGAAGGTTCCTACTGAAGCCTCAAAGACTCCTCAAACATCTGCTGCAACAGAACAACACTTTTAACATGTTTTTCTGTTTCTTCCAAACAAAGATGGCCGCTGACATGAAAATATGCCCTGTAAAAATAGTTTGTAACAATCTGTCTGCTACAACATGAACAAGAGTTTAAGTTGTGACTGTGTTTCCTGTCAGGGTAAATGGAAATGACACAGCAATGAATGTAAAGCACAAGCCAACTATGAGCATGTGTTTTCTATAAAAATGTATAATACTCAAAAGAAACATCACTATATGACTGACAACAGATTTATAAATGTTGGTCCACATCATAGGAATAGCCGAGAGAGACGTGTTGTTTCCGGCCTCCATCTTTGTTTAGTTCAGAAAACAAATACACAACATGTTAAAACTGTTGTTCATGTTGCAGCAGACTGAATATTTTGTTTACAGTGTCTTTGAGGATTTATTTGAAACCTTCAGAGCAGCAGGACGTGATGTCAGACACCTTCACTGAATATTTACCTCTCTGTCTCTGTGGCTGGAATGTGATGGGAACACTTGAGAGGAACAAACTGGGACCAGAGGACTCTTTACCCTTTTGAGATTTTGGGTCCCAGAGTCGTGAGCGTATTGTGATAAAATATTTGGTCATTTATCCAAAATGGTGGTCGTGTACCTGAAGACAAACTGCAGCAACATACTGTCAGAATCTGAAAGTTTAGGACAAATTTATCGTCATGTCACAGCTGCTGTGACCAGAGCTGAAACAGTTAATCGTTTAACTGATCAGTCGATCATCAGAGAATTAATTAGCAGCTATTTTGATAATCAAATAGTTGTTGTTGTCATTTTATTTCATTAATTTATCATCAATAACAAACAGTCCCTGATTCCAGCTTCTTAAATATCAGGATTTGCTGTTTTTCTTTGTATATTTTTCTTATTAAACTAAATGTATTTGAGTTTTGGACTGTTGGTGGGACGGAGCAAAGACACTGAAAGACTTGTAGGGCTAATGATGATGTTTTTTACCGATTCGTCTGGAGATTATTTTCTTTATTAATAGTTTGGTCTATAAAGAACTTAAGTGCACAGTGATAAAAGCCAGTTACAATGTCCTGGAGCTTACAGTGACGTCATCATGTCTGTTTTGTCCAACCAACATTTCCAAACCCAAAGATATAGAATTTACTATCATGTGAAACCAAGGAAAACAGCAGAACCTGGAAATATAATATTTTTGCTTGAAAAATGACTTAAATGATGATCAAAATAGCAGCCGATTATTTTTTAATTGAATAATAGATTAAGTCACTGATAGTTGCAGCTCTAAAGACGTCACTTTGGACAACTGGACATTTGTAACCAAAGTTTTTCACAAGTTTCTGTCATTTTATTGACAAAACCATTAATCAGATATTAAGAAAATAATTGGTAGGTGAGCTGATATTAAAAAAATCGTGACTTTACACATCTACAAATGGATCAAGGACAAAAACTAACTAGGGGTGCACCGGTTTTGAAGTTCTGGGCTGATACCAATGTTTTTATCTTGTTTTTGTTTTTATTTATTCCACCTTTTGTGCCAGGGAAACAACAAATCTACCTTATGAATTGAATTAGTTTTAGAGCATTACACTACCTTTGAATGAGCACAAATTCAAAGGGCTCATAGAGTGAGTCTTCTGACGTGTCAATAGTGAGTTTACTTTATCTTTTCGTCCTGAAGACATCCTGGGGACGATGTCTGTTCATCCCAAACACGTTTTCTATTGTCTCTGGGATGACAGGATGCTGACTGCTACTAGCCATCTCATCACACAACAGTGAGATCACAGAGCCGATCTGTCAAACGGTCGCTGTATTCTTCTTGTACCTGCTTACTAATTTAATTTTGTGGCCGTTAGTCGTGCGTCCTGCTTTTTATCCGGTGCAAAATTGATGTGACACAACAGATAAACTCTGCCACTTCCATCCATAAGAATAAGATGGTCAACAAGGTGAATATCAGCCTATACCAGTGTTCAGGTGATGAACTGGTGCATCCCTAGAATTGACACAAACACCAGAAGGCTGATGATGAGATGAAAAAGCATTGTGTGGTTAAATGTAGTTTGTAGTTTTGCGGTGATGAAGATGTAGTTTCAGCTGTGTGGCAGCTCCAGAGAGCAACTGGTGACACAAAGTGTTTATTGTGTGAG